GCATTGTCAAGGCACTAACTCTGCTATGGGAGCCAAGCCCTGTAATTGACTAAGGGCATTGTTACATAATTGACGCCCTTCAGAGAATGTTTTAAGCAATACCACCCAGAAACTTTTGTAACTACAACTTTTATTATTATACAAAATACTGTATGAATGTATGAGAGAGTGCTTGGACGATGAATGAATGGTTCTGAGAGGTGCCAGCCTGAGAATACAGCAACAAAGGGCTGAAGAAGGCGTCAGGTGCCAGTGCAACCAAAAGGTGTCAAGTGGAGAAAACCAAGTACTGGAGGTCCACCCGATGAGATCACTGACGAGCACCTGGCAGCCACCCTGGAGACATCAGCATGATGCAGCAATTTCCATAGACTGGCATAGGAAAAAATTCCTATAAGAACTGGACTAAAAAACTATGGAATCGGAGTCCAAGATTCTGCTGCCAGCCTACCAGGAGCTTCAGATGTGCATCTGATCAGGACTTCGCTCCCCACTACCATCACTTGTGTACAGAATACCTGGCCAGTATTCTGTCACAAGCAACTTCCAGGCTGGTAACTATAACAAATACACAGAACCTGAATGAATGGATGAATGAATGTTTATATGTATATGGGTTAAGTAGTTAAACAATGTTGTTTGCTTCTATCTTTTCTTTATTATTATCTTTACAATAAATGTGGCTTTTTGCCTTATCCCCCTCATAAGATCCTGCTTGCTTTTATTTGGTATAACATCATGACTTGTGGACTGTTCTGTACTATGGATATGATTATCTGTATCATGTCAAACCTGTCTTGTGGAAGCAATGCCTTCATCACCTGGGTGTTGAGATGTGTTACAATTTGAATTCTAATTGCTGAATTAGTTCTATTGTTAATTTACTTAGGTTTATTTGTAGTCTAAGGCTTTTGGAAATAGTGTATTACTGGGTGTGTACTTCCAGGAGACAGTCATCCAGCTACAGAAAAATTATGATGTCTTGCTTTCTCAGATATGTTGTGACAACAGTGAGGATCTTGGAGTAGGTGTTGTTGACAGGCCAAAAGATAGAATCTTGACAAACTATACTCCATTAGTGTGCACTGGTATCCCATGTAGACATGACCTTCAATATTGCTAGATTACGTAGGTGTATATGATTGTATTCTCTTTCCATTTATAATGGAATATTTATAAAAAAAATTTGCAAAGTGGGAAACTTAGGAAGTATGGAGAATGAACAGACCTCTGTATCTGGTCTCTTTAAGTTACGGTTAGAATTGTTGAAAATTTGCACGGCCACTACCCATCATGTATCTTCTGTAGCAGTTATAATACAAATATATGCATGCACATAGTACCTTTAACTAAAGGTTGTCAAACCTCTTTTAAAAGACAGATAGCCCAACTATGAAATGTGGCTAAAATACATTGCCTAAACCCACACTGGATATCAGTGGGAACCTAGGTCTCTGGACTTCCACTCCATCTGTAATCAGTAGACCATACACTGCAAAATCATCATGTTTCATTAACACTTTAAAGAAGAAAACTTTTTACTTCTGGTTGTTAACAGTATTTCTGAAAATCACGTGGACACATGTTACTGCACACTAAGTTTAAGCTTACGTACATGATCTAACTCAATACAAATGCATATTTTAGAATACTAATCATACACATTTAGTTTCAACATGTTGATAATTAAAGGTAGAGATGAAAGGCTTGAGGCTGTAAAGCAGGATCACATTTATTCTTTAAGATATTTTAATTTATAAGTCAGATGCTAAAAACTTCTCTGAAAAAAGTACATTAACACATACATATAGTGTTGACACAATACATTTATGTTTGTTATATACATAAAATTAAACAAGCATAATTACTTTGCACATATACATGGAGAGAAGAATCAAGATAAATCACAGAAGTGGAATAAACTTTCCATAATCTGGTAGTGCAACTAGTTTGGTAGAACGTGAGAGAGCCCAGAACCAAAACATGACTGCATTCAATATGTACTGACATGTCAGTAAAAAAGGAATATATCATGGTATTAAAATGCCATGGTTAATCTCCAAAAGAGAATGTGTACAGTCAAAGTTGTATTAATCATTTTTGTGTAAATCAACTCTATAAGCAATAGACATTAAGAAAAATGTATGTTGTCTTCTATTAAGACTTGCAAACAAGTTTTGGGAAAAAAACAAAATTGAAACATACTGGAAGGTTTTAACAACATGACAACCTTTTCCTAATTATATATCTCCAGTAACTAAATATGGTCACTCTCAAAGGAAATATGGTCATCATAGCCACATTCTACAGCACTGATGTTATTTTTATTATAAAACAAATAAATGTGTCCAACAAGGTTTCTATATCAGTCCTACAGTTATGTAATTACTCAACACTGGAAAGCTGGCTTCTGATTGCATTATGTACTGGTCTTGATTTGTGCTTCATCCAATCATATGTTAATCTATTTATAAAAGTAGAATTTGTTTTTCAGAATATACCAATTTTATATAAATAGCCTGCTATCTCATTAACTGAAAATAATAAAATAAGTTAATAGTTTAAGAAAAAGCCAAACAACAGTCTAATGGTCTGATAACCTCACTTGAAATTACAAATATGGACTACAACTTGACACAGTATTAAAAAAAAATCATCCTTGCTAAAAAACTCCTAGGAGCCAGTTCCTCCAGTCTACCCTAATGATCTCTTACATGTAACAATGTCACACAGTTATAATGACTGTTTCAGATGTACTATTTTTTCACATCTTTAGTTTTACACTATAATATTTAAAAAAATCCTTGTTCATAAAATAGATGTTCAGCAATATAATGAATTTTGATGACTGGAAACAATGTATTTTAATTATTACAGTAACAGAGTACAACAAAATCACTTTGCACATCAAGATGTCAAAAGGTAATTAACATTTTCTTTACAGTTGTTAAATGAAAACTATGGTTCAGCAAATCAACTTTCTCTACAATTAACATTAGTATTTAGAACTTCAGAGTTGTCAGGCAGAATATGAAACACATGAGTCAACATTTTAAAATTGTAGTACTGACTGAGAAGGGTAAGTGAATGGAAAAATGCCCACTGGAAGTGAGGTTGCTTTCTTCAATGCATAAAAGTAAAGATTAAGGAAACTGCAGGTAATTGAATTCAGATGTTAACAAGCTAATAGAAAACCAGCATTTAACTTAAATTTGTTTAAATAGAGAAACTAAAATTTGTAAATAGCAGGGAGATTAGTTCATCATGAAAAGCAAGACTGTTTACTTATTGTGTCTGAAACTTACTGTGCAAGGGATCAATTATATCTACAAAGTCCTTTTGAAACCACTGAACCATTCCAGTCAACTGCTTTTACTACTCAACTGCTAAGTGAGTGATTCTGCTTTCAGCAGATATCAGAAATATTCTTAGGCAAGTTGCTAAGAGATCTGTTGCTGAAAACTGTAGCTGTAACCTAAAAATCAAGAGGTACATTGAACATTATCAAGAAAATAAATTCCTAATATCAACGTATACATTTGCCTGTTCAAGCTTGCATTCAAAACATTTATGATATTCCACAGTGCTAGCTCATTACATGTCTTGTAAAACAAATCACAGAGTAGAGACAGTAACTTTCCTTTACAATTCTGCAGATATACTGTAAAAGGTTTTGCAAATTTTTGAATGAACATGATTAAATTCTGAAAGCCTAATTTCCAATACTGTGATTCCTCAAACTCCTTTTTTTATGACAATCAACTATTGCATTAAAAATAGAAAATCTGAGGTTCAGAATTTGGCAGTCAGCTGACTGAGAATGTAATTGTAAAATATTTTATTTGAGAATGTAAGTCTCTTCATAATTTAAAATTATTACAACTAGAACCACCCTGCCCAAAGAAGCAAAAAGATGCAATTATATCATCCTATCCAAACTACTACCTCCACAATGTTTTCTTTTACTATTAAAGGGCCAAGATCGACTTTATTACAGCAATTTTACTAAAATTTGTTCAAGTAAAAAACACTTTTAAAAACATGGGCAACATATTTTCTTAGGAAATTTATCCTAATGCTGTTAGCATTTTAAAATCTAGAACTACATATATGTGAATTGTTAAAAGCAATATCTCTGAACTTTTGGTGTGGGAATTTGACTGTTAATGAAAGGTAATTTCACTATTTGGGGAACACAGATCCATAAAAGTTTGTATTACTCATCTCTGATTCTTTTCCTCCTTAAAATACTACTCATGTTAGTGTCATATCACTTTATACAGGCAATCTGTCACTATATTGGCACAGATGCTATAGTATGAATAGCATTAATCATTTCTATTTTTCAGAGGTCTAGCTTAAATTTATACTTCCAATCATGATTATAAAATATTGTATTGCTGGACTAATGTTAACATATGCCAATTCCCACAATGAGCATTCATTCCAGTGTTTTCATAATAATCATCATCCAGGAAACTTGCTAAAAAATTACTGTTTTAAACCAAGCACTGTTCCTCATATATAACAACACTGTAGGCTTTTTACACAGAAAGTCTGCTGTATACTTGGCCTGTTGCTAAGTATTTACTGCAAAATATCCTTTTATGTAGTTGTACATAAATAAGGTAGGAGCTATATTTATTTCAGAACACTAGACTTTCAACCAATTTGATAATTTGCTGATCATCATTACTATTTATTCTATGAATGGATGTGTGTTCACATTTTGGTAAATGCCACACATTATAAGGAATGATGTACTGAAAATTTATTTTAAAAAAGTTAGTTCTCATATCTGAAATAGATTTGAATGGACGTCTATGCACTTCCAATGGCCAGCTGCCATCCATTATTACATTTCAGATTTTACCAAGACTTCTACCCAACATTTAGGGTTAAGCTACACGTTTTGGCTGTGATACAAGCAGTGATGAAAACCATATGAGTAGTAACAAGTCTCTTAATGTCTTTCTTCAGTACTAAGATAGGCTAATCTGTAGAAGCAGTTCACTCAACTATCATCCAGGGTGCTAGGCGAATCAGGAGCTTTTCAAGTGGAATTTTTCCTTGTAATTCCTATTCTCAATTTCACAGCACTCAACACAAGTTCATTAATCTTTTCTTTAAAATAAAACCTGAGAACAAACTTCATAGGTGGATTATCACTGCTTTTGCAAGGACTGACACATCTACCAGGTATGTTATATTTTTGTATCTATTCATATTTAAACAATAGTACAGAATTAAGCAACATATTTTCAATCACTATATGACGATAACACTTATGTAAATAAGAGCTTTTCAGTACTGAATGATTTATAAAGTAAAATAGTATTCAGAATATACTTTAATAGTGGTTTAGCTGGATTACCAAACAATCAACTCTTACAAAAAGAAGAGAATCAATTTATTGTCACACTAACATCTGAAGCAATATATGATAAATTTTCCTTGTTATCTTAATCTATGCACAGCATCACCCTACAGTAATTGCTTAGAATTAATTTACTTCTAAATATATTTTAATGAAAATTGTATTTGATGAAGTGTAATAAAGTATTTAAAAGCAAAAATAAAAAGTAAAGACAGATGTCTTAAATAAGTGAAAATAGTGTAAGTGCTCATAGATTAATATTCATCTAATTTTTAAGATACAAGTGAAGCAGATTATATTCAAAGTCAATAAAATAAAAACCAGTATTTTGGTTATTATATTTAAGAATGCTTTTATCATAGTTAGAGTGTGTATTTTAACATAATTCTGTATTTTCCAGACCATGCCTTAGTTTCTTAGATGTTCTTATTAAGAAAGTTGTATAATTATATTTTTCTAAGGCATTAGTCAAAAGAAACACAAAGAGTTAAATATAAAATCATTTACTTTTGGTAAGGAACAATAATTAATAGAAGCAAAACCATTTTTAAAGAAAGTGGTCAAAAGAACTATAGGTTGAACCTCTATAGTCCGGCACCCTTGGGACCCAACCAGTGTCAAACTAGAGAATTTATTGAACCACGAGAGGTCAATATTGTCTAGCAGCATACACTCCACTACTTATGGGACTCTGAGAAGACATTTAGGGGTAAATTAGAGCTAAATAACAGCACAGAACACAGAGCAAGGACTGATGGCTGTAAACAAACTTTATGGGACCATGGGAAACTTGGCCACACCCATGATAAGTGGACATCTGGCTAATTAAAATCATGCCAGACCACGGATGTTGCTGGACTAGAATGTGCCAGACTAGAGAGGCTCAACCTGTATTATCTTCCCTTTCTTTGGATAAAAGCACTGCAAACAAACCAAATGTCTCATTCCTACCTTATTTAAAAATCTCTTTTCAGAAACAATGCTCTAGGAAACTTCCCTCCCTTCATCAAACTATCTGTGAGATCAGTTCTTTATATATATGGCTCATAAATGGACTAAGTCTCAACTACTCTCCTGTTAGCTCCTCCAGTGTCATTACTTAAAGAAAGCAATGACCACATGCTGCAGTTTTCTGCTGCTGCAATCTGGTCGAAGAGCAATTTCAATGTTTCTCTTTGAACCTATGCATATTTACTAGGGCATTCAAATAATTTTATACCCCACGCTATTGTTGTTATATTTTCTCTTATAATGCACATTTTAATATTATGATGTTACTGCACCGTTATACAGAAATTTCTAATCCAAGTTTTATTACAGTCAAATGGTGTCAGTCACATTATAATAACATTAAAAGTTTGACAATTTTATATAATAATCTGTGCCACACTAACAAATGCATAAAAGAGTTAATCATTTTTGTAGGTTATCTGGCAATCTGAGTTTTGAGATAAAATAGCCTTTGAAATGTACAAGAGTCCCATGCTTCCTGTGGCACTTCTGCTTTTTTGAAATGTACAAGAGCTCCACCAGATTCAAAAGCAGAATCACAGTAGAAGCAGCATGAGCAGAGACTGCTTCAGTCCCCGCTTGCGCCATTTTCGCTGTGCCTTTACCTTCCCTGCCCTCCCACGGAGTTGGTGATAGGGGGAACCATCTTTTAAGCCAGCTCCATCCTCCACCTTGCTGCCTCTCTCTGATAAAGACAGCAATGGGGAGAAGTGACTAGTCGCATCGCTAGTTGACTATCCAATAAGCTTACATCCCTACTTCTTATTCACTGTGTTGACTGAATGAATATAATTGATTGTATTTTAACAAGACTGACCACATCTATGGTAACTGATCCATGAACGGAGGGGATAAATCAAATTTATTCCATAATTGTCTACAAAGAAGCAACTGATAATGTCTACTGTCAGAGGCAATTTATATACTCCTTACAATTCCTATATTCCAAACATAGTGTCTAATTTTTGCCAGTTTTGCTCACAAGATTTCTAATGTGCTGCGGGAGATTCAGCCATTTATCTATCACATGGAACCATTTCCCTTGTTATTAAAAAATTCTGATAAGAGGCTTTGGACTTATTGTTGGCAATAGTGCTTTTTGTTTTGTTTGGTTTTTTAAAAAAGGTGCCAGTACTCATTTCTTGAGGAAAGTAAATTTGAAAAAGGCCTCTTCCACCCTTCCTATGTCATGTCAACATACTCGTGCGCATAAGCAAAAAGCAAATTTTTCATCGTGCTGTTACTGCAGAAGGAGTCAATCAGGCTGAGGGCTGTGCTGGGGGAAAGTGGGGCAGTGTGAGTGCTCCCAGGGCCAGCAGAGGGCTGTGCTGGGGGAAAATGGCCTGAGTGCTCCCAGGGCCAGCTGTAGGCTGTGCTGGGGGAAAGTGGGGCAGTGTGAGTGCTCCCAGGGCCAGCAGAGGGCTGTGCTGGGGGAAAAAAAAAAAAAAAAAAGGCCACTGGTTGACAATCATGTGGACAATGACAATTTTGACAATTATTGTCCATGGGCAGGAGCTGATTGAGGTTTTGAGCCACGCCCACTCTGGGGACAGCCACCACCATCTCGAGGGATGCAGGTGGCACCCCTGGAAGGGGTATTATAAGAAGGCTGTTCAGAAACAAACTGGAACTCTACAATTTATTTGTCTCATCTCAATATGGTTTTCCACCTATGCATGGAACTCAGACTGTACTTGTTTCAATGGTTGATTACTTTCTTCCAGTCTTGCAGAGAGGTTAGGTGCCCAGGCTGATTCTTTTCGAGCTCTTTTCAGTCTTTGATACTGGCCACAATGTTTTTTTGACTTGCTTGCAGATTCTAAGTGGGACAATTCAGTAGTGGCAATGTTATCTTAAATAGAATTGTGAAAAGATATTGCGGGGCAATTGCTCATCAGCCTTAGTGGCAATTTCACAGGGGTCTATTTGATCATCGCATATGTTCAGTTTATATGATATGTAAAGCACTGGGGAGAAATCATTGAGATCTGGATTGCACTAGAATTAATTTACAGAAGTTACACGGCTCAGGCCTGGATGATGCACATTCCTTGCTTTCCCAAGCACAAGTCAAGGGGAGTGGATGAGAGTAATATAGCAGAAGATAAATCCAGAAATTTTATATTAGATATTATTAACATAAATGGTGACTTACCTTTGGTCCCTACTTTTGCAGTTAGATATATGTATTTTGTTGAGACGTCTGAAATTTGGGCGTGTTTCTGGATTCCTAAATGTCAATAGTCGTGTAAAAAACCCCTTTAATCTGCAACTGTTGCAACAACTTCATTCCTACTATTATAAAAATATTTCTAGGTATGGCCAATAAGTTTTACAAGAGATAAATTCAACTAGAAATTTGAAGTCGTAGAGAGATAGCCATGTTAATCTGTATCTGCAAAACCAACAAGGAGTCCTGTGGCAACTTAGGGTATGTCTAGAATACATCCCTCTTTCGACAGAGGGATGTAAATTAGGCACTTCGAAATTGCAAATGAAGCCGGGATTTGAATTTCCCGTGCTTCATTTGCATAATCGCATCATAGCATTCTTTCGAAAAAGCTCTGTTTCGAAAGTAAAACCGCAGTCTAGACGCAGTTCTTTCGAAAATAGAAGACTTTTTCGAAAGATCCTACAGACTGCGGTTTTACTTTCGAAACAGAGCTTTTTCGAAAGAATGCTATGATGCGATTATGCAAATGAAGCACGGGAAATTCAAATCCCGGCTTCATTTGCAATTTCGAAGTGCCTAATTTACATCCTTCTGTAGAAAGATGGATGTAGTCTAGACGGACCCTTTGAGATTAGAAGTGCCTAATTTACATCCTTCTGTAGAAAGACGGATGTAGTCTAGACGGACCCTTCGATATTAAAAGATTTATTAGGGCATAAGCTTTCATGGGTAGAAGTGGGTTTTACCCACAAAAACATAAATCTGTTATTTTCTAAGGTGCCCCAGGATTCCTAGACTATGGAGAAGTTATTTGTGGTTCTAAATTCTCTAACTTTAGCTGTATTTTGTTCTCCTTCTTCCCTCTCTCCACAAGATTATTCACCCAGAGAAAACATGAAAGAATATCTGTTGCTTCTCTTCTTGGGTTTGTGCTCTGCCAAACGTTTCATTGGCCCTTCATACTTTACATTAAAGCATATGATGCTGCAAGATATGGAAGATGAAAATGACAACAACTCTATATTTACAACTAGAAGACCAAGTTCACCACAAATTCCTTTTGATATATTTCCAGTATGCCCCTTTGGATGTCAGTGTTATATGAGAGTTGTTCACTGCTCTGACCTTGGTAAGAATAAATCTGTATGTCTGGTTTTATGGGAATTATATTTGAAATTTTTTTTAAAAGGTGAATTCTGCACTTACATGAAATTATGAAGAACAAAGTCATATTTGTTTTCAAGGAGACTAATTTTTTTTACTAGTAAATTGTTTTAGTCGGATTTCTAAAGGATATCATCTATGAAGCTCTCTCTGACACCCTGTCTACATATCAACATATACCAACTTTTTCACACCAGCTTAAAAATTGATGTCATTAAAATCAGGACAAACTCCTTGTATGAGGATTGACTTTTATCAATATAACTAAAGCTGGAAAGCAATTTAGACTATAGAAAACTCTGTATTCGAGGCAGCGAGGCAGGGAGCATGAGCCAGCACTTGTGGGAGCCTGCTTAAAAGCCAGTTCCCCCCAGCATCTTCTCTGTAGAGGCAGCATGGGGGGAGGGAAGGGAAGCTGTGGCGAAGAAGCCTATGCCTACAACAGGCCCAGGCTTGCTGCAGGCAGAGGCTGCTCCGGCAGCAGCTTGTCTGGGAGGAAACCCAGCAGGAGACTGGCTTTCCTTCCCTGCCGAGAGGGGCTGCTGCCACGAAGCAACTGAGGTCTGTGGCCAGCCCCAGCTGCTGGGCTGTGGACAAGGGCTGCTGGACCCAGTGCAAGCTGGGACCGAGTGAGCCCAGTTCAGTCCCCACTCATGCTGGTCTGGGACTGCAGCGGCTCTGTAGTACCTATCCCCACTGTGCCTCTACAGTTTAAATGTAGTAGGAGCCAGACTGCCTAGGCACCTGGCTCCTACTACGTTGAAACTGTAGGGCGTTATCGACTAATCGTGTAGTCAACACAAATTGTATCGACGACACGACTGTCAATTACCCACCTCTTAACATCCTTAGCTCTGTGTGAAGGGGAGGGTCCCAGCACAGCCTGATCTTTTTAGATTCCTCATTCCTTGGTGATGAGTCAGCCACTGTGCTGGCCCCTTTTCCAGCTGTTTTACACCTCTCCCCATCTCACAAGCCATCATGAATTGCTTTTCCTCCTCCCCCAAGCAATCAAGAATGACTTCTCCTGGCCAGCCTGACAAATACCTCCCAGCTTAAGATGAAGGGTGGTGATTTGCAGAGTGGTAGACCACATGACAATGGAAAAGACTGACAAGAAACCAAGAGGCCACAAATCAACCACAAAGAAATTATAATGAAAGAGCATGGAAAGAACGTTAGTTTCTAGGTTAAGTCTTTACCACAACTGAATAGCGTAAACATAATGATCACATTTTGACAAAGGGAAAATATATCAATAACACTGTAAAATTCATAGTACATAAGGATTACAATCTTTAAAATTAATGACCACAGTCTCTATTTGTATAAATCTTCGTTGTTAGGCTTTATATAATTCAAGGTTGCCAGTAGATAGTTTTAACCTTACTTCATAACAATACTGAGAAGGAGAAAATTTCCTTCCCTACTCTCCTCAGAGAGTGGCTAGCATAATGTCCACAGTAGTTTAAACAATAACTTGGTTTATTTACCACCTGAACAGGGATGCAGGGTGGGTGCCACCTAGCCTGCTCTGTGTGGAGGGGAAGGTCTGGGTTAAATAAAAAGGTTTTTCCTTTAAATCTTCCCCCCCCCCCCATTAACTCCACTGCTTCATTTTCCTCTCCCTTGTTAACCTCATCCCTCTATCATTTCCTCCAGCTCTACCTAGTCTCCACTTCCTATCCTGATCTGCCCACACCTCTTGTCAAACACAAATCCTCCAACATCGTGATCTCCCGACTCATCTCCGGTGACATTTAACTCATCTGTGGACATCTCTCTATCTTCAACCACTTCTCCTCCTACTAGGGATGTAAGCAAGTAGTCAACACCTCGATAAGCCTAAGCTTATCGGGAAGTTGAGCCAATTACTTGACTACTTGCTTCCCGCCCCTTGCTGCCTCTGTAGCAGAGACAGCAGCAGGGGGGAAGGGAGGCTGCCACAAAGCAGCCCCTGTCCATGGTGGTCTGGGTTGGCCATGGGGAGAGGCTGCTCCAGCAGCAGCCCCTGTCCACAGGAGGTCCCAACTCACGTCAGTCCCTCTACCCTCCCAGGTGACCATATTTTTTAAAATAAAACAGCCAGGGGGCACCCTTGCCCAAACTGTCCTTCCCTCCTCCTCCCCCCGCCCCTGACAGGGCTCACCCAAGCTACCCTCTCTTTGCCTCCTGGGGCTCGGACTGACCCTCCCCCACAACTGATTTTGGGGCTGAGTCCCCCATCCCAAATTCTGCACTGCCCATGGTGGGGTCTACCCGCCCCCAGCCCAGGGGCTGACCCCTCCCCTGAGCTTGGGGGCTGACTCCTACCCCTGAGCACTATGCCACCTGCAGTTGGGGGCTGAGCTCCCCCAAACTCTGCACTGCCCACGACAGAGTCTACCACCCGTCTGGCCCTGTGCCACCCGCAGCTGGGGCTGAGCTAAAAAAGGATTCTTTTGAATAGAAGAATTTAAGTTTAGCTTCCAGATAGAATTTGCACAACAATACTTCAGTGAGGTGAACTGACGTTGTTTTTTTACAGCGTAAATGTTTTATAAAAAATAAATATAAAGCGAGCGCTATACACTTTGTTTTCTGTGTTGTAATTGAAATCAATATATTAGAAGATGTAGAAAACATCCAACAATATCTAGATAATATTCTTATTATTGTTTTACAGTGCAATTAATCGCCATTAATTTTTTTAATCACGATTATTTTTTTTAATAATTTCACAGCCCTAATTTTAAATATAGTAAGAGCCTCGTGATAAATCTCATTTTTAAAAATGGCCTGTTATTGAAAAATACCAGCATGGGAGTCAAGACAGCTGGATTCTCTAAGGGCATGTCTACATTACTGGGAAGATCGACACTGTGGTAGTCGATCTTCCATTGTTTGCTTTAGTGGGTCTAGTTGGGAAGCTGAATCGTATGCTGGGGGCACCCTCATTGATCTCCACACTCCTTGCTGTCTCAAGGAGTAAAGGAAGTCAACGGGAGCATCCCACAGTGAAGACGATGCTCGAGCTCAGCTTAAGATATATCAGCTCCAGGTACGTTATGTATATAGCTGGAATTGCATACCTCAAGCTGACCTTCCTCCTACTTTTTCTATTCTATGAAGCTCAGATATTGAACAGACTGGTCGTTTTTTTTTTGTTTTTTTTTTAATACAGTTAATTCCTAAGCAGTTTCACTTTCTGGGGCTTATACTCTCACAAGATGATACAATCTTTGGAAAAAACAAGAGATTAATTTTATTCTTTTAAAAAGAAACTGCTTAAATGGAACACTGTAAGCAACTCATGGGAATTATGGGCTGAAGTTCAGCTTTGTATAAATATGAAACTTTTTATTATAAAATCTGATTTTTTTTAAACTAAATTGACCTAAGAACATATGTATTCAATGCAAAACCAAAAGCTACGCATTTACATTCTCATGGGCTACATCTAGACTGCAAGCATCTTTCGAAAGAGGCTTTTTCAAAAGTATCTTTCGAAAAAGCCTCTTTCGAAAAAGAGCATCTAGACTACAACCAGTACTTTCGAAAAAGCAAGCCGCTTTTTCAAAAGAGAGCACCCTCTCTTTTGAAAAACCACAGTATACATTACTTAGTGCCTTTTTACAAAAGAGCGCTTTCAAAAAAAGGCGTTATTCCTCGTAAAACGAGGTTTCCCGTAGTTGAAAAAATGCCGCATTCTTTCAATTTACTTTCGAAAGAACACAACAGCAGTCTAGATGCAGGGGAGGTTTTTTCGAATAAAGGCCAATTTTTTCGAAAAAACCCTGTAGTCTAGACACACCCATGGTGTCCTGCTTAGCAGTTAATAGTTTTTTGTACAACAACATAGTAGGCATTTATATATATATATTTTTATTATTTACACTAAATAGGTTTGACTTCAGTACCAAGCAATATTCCACCTGATACTCGCATGATAGACCTTCAAAACAACAAAATTAAGGAGGTAAAGGAAAATGATTTCAAAGGACTCACATCACTTTATGTAAGTTATTTTCTGATTCAGTGTTATTTAGACAACTCAAAGATTTTATTTATTTATATTAGTTATGTCTTTCCTCCTACAACAATTTAGATGAATTATATTAAACTATTTTGATGTCTTCAACTCTGGATGCATACACATTACAGAATGAAATCTTGTCAGTTTATAAAGAGCTCACAACATCCAGAAACACGCCACTGGGGGAAAACATACTATCAAGCTTTTAAGTACCCAGAGAAATTTCTCTTAAATTTAACTGATTCTCTCCTTCTCAGAACTGTAACCAACAGTGGTAAACTTAATTCCACATGCAAAGCAGATGTCAGGGAGAAATTTTCAAAAGCACTCACTACAGAAGTAAATGTTAGAACTTCCATTAACTTCAAATGGAACAATTTAAGGCCAGCACTGAGCTCTCTTGAAAATTCTGTCTACCTTATTAATTCTTTAAGATACAAGCAAGAATACTAAATTAAAATATAAAATGATTAAAAATTATGATGAGAAAATGACACACTAACGCTACAATACAGGACTGTCAATTTGATAAGCCAAACAGGATTGGCTGGTGTAACTGAGAGGTTTAGATTAGGCAAAACTGTAAACAAAAATACAAATGACATTTCAATACAAATCCCTCCTATCTTACAAATATTTAAGATGATCTTTCTTCCATATCCTCCTCACAGATCATGCAGCATATATTTGTTTCTTTAATAATCTCTTAATTCAGTTTTTAAGGCATATCAGACAGCCACTATATGTAAAAATAAAATAAATCCACAACTAAAGTCAAAGTAATAGCAAATTAAAGTCAACTGATCAACACAGAGTACCTTAACAGGGACTCCCAGTTTCATAGCAATAAATATAGGTTAGATAGGCTTGACTGATGGGAAAAAATCCTTTCCAACTACACTTTGTCACTTAGCAACAAATCAAAATTGAGCAGATCTAATTTCAGTCAAGGGTATTTGAAGTAAAAGTCAAAGACAGGTCATGGGCTCTGAATAATTTTTTATTGCCTGGGACTTGCCCATGACTTTTACTAAAAATACCTGCCACAACTAAATCTTAGACTCACTAATCACTTCTAGTTGTGCTCAAATTGAAAGCTTCTGATCTCCTGATAATAAACAAGCTTTTGTTTTTCTGGTCAGTTTGCCTGAGAACATTTACAAGACCTACAGATGTCTTACTGAGAACAGTAATAGAGATGCAGCCGTGTTAGTCTGGTCTAGCTGAAACAAAAGACAGAACTATGTAGCACTTTAAAGACTAACAAGATGGTTTATTAGGTGATGAGCTTTCATGGGCCAGACCCACTTCCTCAGATCAATTTGTGGAAGAAAACTGGCACAACCATATATACCAAAGTGATACGATCAAAAAAATGAACGCATGTGAAATTGATAAATCAAATTTTAGAACAGAATCTGTATTCTTCATGTCACTTATCAAAGCACTAGTTTATTTTGTAAAGCCACAGATAAGAATGTAAGAACATAAGAATGGCCATACTGGGTCAGACCAAAGGTCCATCTAGTCCAGAATCCTGCCTGCTGACAGTGGCCAATGCCAAGTGCCCTAGAGGGAGTGAAATGAACCGGTAATGATCAAGCGATCTCTCTCCTGCCATCCATCTCCACCGTCTGACAAACAGAGGCTAGGGACACTATTCTTTACCCATCCAGGCTAATAGCCATTAATGGACTTAACCTCAATGAATTTATCTAGTTCTCTTTTAAACCCTGTTCTAGCCTTCACAACCTCCTCAGGCAATGAGTACCACAGGTTGACTGTGTGCTATGTGAAGAACTTCCTTTTATTTGTTTTAAACCTGCTGCCCATTAATTTCATTTGGTGGCCCCTAGTTCTTACATTATGGGAATAAGTAAATAACTTTTCCTTATTCACGTTCTCTAGAATTTCCTACCAAATCCCTCAATCATAGGATTGGAAGAGACCTCGGGAGGTCACAGAGTCAAACCCCCTTCCCAAAGCAGGACGAATCCCAATAAAATCATTCCAGCCAAGGCTGTGTCAAGCTTGGACTTAAAAACCTTTAGGGATGGAGATTCCACAGTGCTTTATCACCCTCCTAGTGAAACAGTTTTTCCTAATTTCCAACCTAGACTTCTCCCACTACAAGTGGAGACCACTGCTCTTCATTCTGTCATATGTCACTAGTGACAAAAACCGCTCACCATCCTCTTTAGAACCCTCTTCAAGGTAGTTAAAGGCTGCTATCTAATCCCCCCTCACTATTCTCTTTTGTAGACTAAAAAAGCCAAAATCCCCCAGTCTCTCCTCTTATGTCATGTACTCCAGCCCCCTAATCATTTTTGCTGCTCTTTGTGGGTCTCTCTCTAATGCATCCACATCTTTTCTGTAACCGGGGGCCAAGAAGCATATGCAGTACTCCAGATGTGGCCTCACCCAGTGCCAAAAAAAAGGGGAATCATCACTTCTCCAGATCTGCTGGCAATGCCCTAACACACCCCAATCAGCTGTTAGCCTTCTCAGCTACAAGGGCACACTGTGGATACGTATCCAGATTCTCAGCCACTATTATCCCCAGATATTTTTCTGCCGAACTGCTGCTTAGCCAGTCGGTCCCCAGCATGTAGCAGTGCTTGAGATGCTTCAATTCCACATGCAGGATTATGTACTTGACCTTACTGAACCTCATCAGACCCAATCCTCCAATTTGTCTAGGTCACTCTGAACCTGATCCCTACCCTCCTGTGTACCTACTTCTCCCTCTAGCTTAGTGTCATCTGCAAACTTGTTCAGGGTACTATCCATCCCCTTACCTAAGTCATTAATAAAGATGCTGAAGAAAACCGGTCCCAGAAACAACTTGAGACACTCCACTTGATACAAACCACCAACCAGACATGATTGATCACATTTATCTAATCCATACTTCTTTCACTTGCTGGCAAGGATACCTTCAGAGGTCGTATCAAAAGCTTTGCTAATATCAAAGTATATCACATCCAATGCCTTCCCCATATCCACAGAGCCACTAATCTCATCATAGAAGGCAATCAGGTTGGTAAGGCATGACATTCCCTTGGTGAATCCATGTTGACTATTCCTGATCACTTTCCTCTTTCCAAGTGCTTCAAAATGGATTCCTTGAGAAATATTTACCAATCTCCTCACAAATACATGATCACAAAAATTCAATGTAGATATTGTTGACTTTCATTTTGCATTTTTCTTAGGCATTGGCTTTGAACAACAACAAAATATCCAAGATCCATCCAAAAGCTTTTCAATCAACAAAGAAGCTTCGACGGCTGTACTTGTCCCATAACCAGCTAACTGAGATCCCAGCAAACCTGCCAAAATCTTTAGCAGAACTACGAATACATGATAATAAGGTTAAGAAAATACAAAAGGAAGCATTTGAGGGAATGAAGGGTTTGCATGTTTTGGGTAAGTCTGTCTTATGGTAACATTATTAAAACCAGACTCCATGTAGCTAGTTTACAAAAGTACATTTCAGGACTGCATTAAGCAATATGGTTAACTAGCAGGTGAGCCCGTCACTGACCAGGGAAAGTCATTTTGAGTAGATTATATTTATAAGGATAGTTCAAGAAATTAAATATATGTAATAGAATTTTTTATTAATGTGCTTGCAAAGTGGAATTAAGAGAACAGTTTTAAATTGGTAGATTTCAATTTCAAGCTTATTCATTTTATTGAATAATTTCCAAAAAAAGTTTCTTTGCACTAAAATAGCAATTGAATAGGCAACCCGATTTTAATTTTGTTAGCAAATATTTATGACCTCTGATCATAATAGTTATGACTATTTTTCTGATGAAAATCAAAAATAATTATTTAACTTTAGATTCAGCATATTCCTGTGTGAAAAGTAGTACATTCAGCTAATTTAAGTGGCACAATTATTTATGCAAATTTTGGCATTTGTAGGTAATCGTAAAGTATGACTTTATTTTGCATAAGCTCGTCAAAATATATAAGAGATGTGCTAATAAATACAGTATAGACATAGCTATTATATACAACTTCAAGAGCATGAAAGTTCTATACATAGAGTTACTGGATAATCTGGTTCTAAATCACCAATGGAAATATTATAGAAGTTTTATTAATAGTGTTATTCTGCCGATTTTATTAACACAAGTTGGTGAAAATGCTAAACTGCTACATGTTCTGGAAAAACAGCTCAATTCAGAAAAAAGTCATATATATCCAAATATTCAAGATCTCATGAAGCAGATGGCCATCAGCTTAGCCACAACTCAAATGACTAGATTTCCTCACAGCTCAGCTTCTTTACTTAATCTTTCTATGAAGGGTGATCATTGAGTTCGAGATGTCACATTTCACTTAGCTAATACAGAATCATGGATTTCACTGCAGGAGAAAACCGAAAGCTAACTTAGTTGGGGATGGGAGCAAAGCTCAGATTCAAAAATGTAAAATCTACAATAGCTGCACAGAATATAATTACTAGCAGCTTTTCTTTCCTATATGTAAATTTCTGTTCAAGTTTTCCTTATGCAGAAGTTTCTTTTTAAATGAAGATATCTATATTAGAGGATCTTTAAAGCATCTTTTGTTTGCCTTAGGTAACTAAAATTCAGATCTACTTAACTGTAACTATTACGTGGGTGAAGTTCTGGTAACTCTGCAAGTCAAAACATGCAATCCTTACTCAAATAGAACTGTTAGAGAGGTGGTGACCAACCAGTAGATAGAGACCTACCAGGAGATCTTGGAGCCTCTGACAGGTGATCCTGACTGGCTTGGCCAGGAAGCTATTAAGGGCTGGCACTTCAATTGGCCCACTACCCACTGTCATGCTGCTCCTGCTCTCTGCCTTGGAGCTTCCCCCGTGGAAGGGTCCTGCTTGCTCTAAAGGATGTGGGAGGAAGTAAAGGGGAGGGAGGTGCTGATGTCAGGGTGTCTCTCCTCCCTTTGCTCCTGTAGCCTATCTCCACACAAAGAAAAGGGGATGGAAGGAGGGTGGCCATGCAAATCTCTCCCTCTCACACACTGTGTGTCTGTTATTCTCACAAACACCAACTGTCCTTTGCTCTCAGCTCCCAACCCAACATGTGTGGGTTTTTGGTGATGTTACTTTTACTGCTTGCAAAGTGGATTATTTTTGGTTTTTGACTGGTCTGTGCATTTCATAATTTTCATTTCTCAATTATTCTTATATTTAATTCTTTGAGTAGTGAATTCTTAAATGCCTAATTTTGAGTAGTGAATTCTAAAATGCCTAATCTGTCTTGGCTGGAATCATTATCCCTGTGGTAATTGCTGCTCCTGAAAGTGGCTGGCTTGTCCCTGTAGCCCTGAGAAAGGCAGAGCAAGGGGTCTCTACATGCTGTTCCTGCCTGCAAATACCGCTCCTGCAGCTCCCATTGATCAGAAATGGAGAACCGTGGCCAGTAGTAGCTGTGGACTCAGTGCCTGTAGATATGGGGCAGCACATGGTGTCATGGAGCCATCGCTGTACATGCCAGCTGCTTTCAGGAGTGGTGCAGGACTAGGGCAGGAGTAAGTCTGCCTTAATCCCACTGCTCCACCACCCGAAAGCCATCTCAGTTAAATGGTCAATGGGCAGTAGCCAGTTGCTCTGGCATAGGAAACTGGGGCCACTTCAAAATTCCGGTTATAATCCATGGTCATAGTGAGTTTATTCCATGGAGCTCCAAAACAGTCACATCTATTACAAGTTAGGTGAAATCAGAATTGCTTTTAATAAATCCTTTATAATTAAACAGACTAGAACAGATGTGCAATGTGATTTAGTTTAATTATAAAATTCTTGCTTTGGTAGAAATGAGCGCAAATCCTCTTGACAATGATGGAATAGAACCAGGTGCTTTTGAAGGAGTGACAGTCTATCATATCAGAATTGCAGAAGCGAAACTGACCTCTGTTCCCAAAGGTATGGGTTCTTTCTTATGCTAAAAATATGCCAAAATAATTTCTCAGTCTTTCAATGTACTATACACAAGAATCTTCCCCTCCACACCAATTGTTCTCCTGAATAGCCTATTTCATACCTGTTTTTCTTTGTTTAAATTTCTGTAACGTGAGATTATAATACTCAAAATTATATTTATACAATAGTTTCTCAATTTCCTCTTTCCACTCTCTTAGAAACAACCACCCATCTTTCCCATCTGCTTTTTTCATCCCTGAACACTGGTAGATACTCTCTCTTGTTCTCCTCTCCCACTCTGTCCAGATGGTGTATGCAACTTTTATTAAGGCCAAGAAACAACAGAAATAAACCATCAGGAAAGAGGAGCAATTCAGCATACTGAACAACAAACTAGGCCAAGCCTCCCAACAAATTGTAACTCACTATTTTAACTTTAGCAGTTCAGCACAAAAGGACCTGGGGATTACAGAGGATGAAAAGGTGGATATGAGTCCTTGTAGCCAAGAAGGCTAATGGCATACAGGGTGATTTAGGAGGAGCGTTGTCAGCAAATCTAGAGAAGTGATTATTCCCCTTTATTCAGCACTGGTGAAGCCATATCTGGAGTACTGTGTCCAATTCTGGGCCCTCCACTATAGTAAGGATGTGGACGCATTGGAGAGGGTCCAGTGGAGGGCAACCAAAATGATTAGGGGGCTGGAGCACATGGCCTACGAGGAGAGACTGAGGGATTTGATAGCAGCCTTCAACTTCCTGAAGGGAGGTTCCAAAGAGGAAGGAGAGAAGCTGTTCTCAGTAGTGACAGATGGCAGAACAAGGAGCAATGGTCTCAAGTTACAGTGGGGAAGGTCTAGGTTAGATATTAGGAAAAACTATTTCACTAGGAGGGCAGTGAAGTACTGGAATGGGTTACCTAGGCGGCAATTACCATCCCTAGCAATTTTTAAGTCTCGGCTTGACAAAGCCCTGGCTGGGATGATTTAGTTGGGTTTGGTCCTGCTTTGGGTAGGGGGCTGGACTCAATGACCGCCTGAAGTCTCTTCCAGCCATAGGATTCTATGAACTTTGCTCTGGCAGTCTCTCCCAAACACTTAAGAACCATGCAGGTCTAAGAATACCTTGAAATTAGCAAGTGTTGTAACTGAAAACTGGCAAAGATAAGTTGTCTGAAAGAACAGTTGTTTTCTTCTTTATTCCTCTGGTAAGTAACCTACATAATGATCCACTTTTCAAGTAATATTTCCTTTCCATTCAAGTTTTAATTTTGTTTTTGTTAATAATCTACTGTGATTCTTCTCAGGAAGTTGAAGCATTATGTATGTTTAATTAAGCATTATGTATGCATAAAAGCCAAGTATTATGATTCCATAGGGAGAACAGCTCTTGGATATGAGTCCCCCTTGATTATGCATTTTCAAGAGCACTTAACATTTTAGATGGGTAAAACAGACAAACACCTCCCAAACCACTCTTTATGCTATACTGAGTTATGCCTAGGCTTGTAATTGTGAGTAAAATATGATCTTGCACCCTTTTCCCTAATAAAACATTTAATCCATGCTATGCATGATGCTCCTAAGGCTCACAGCATGAGAATGTATAGGTTATTCCCAATCTAAACAGCATCACAGTCCAGGACCATCGAGGTCTGATTCTTTCACCATTATTTACAAGTAGATGTATGGATTTCATGGAGCAACATAAAGTGAAGGTTGCATAGTTTTGCCATATAAATAAAAATCCAGCTAGGATGAGTAAAAAGAAAGACAGCAAAAATCTGAAGGTATTGGAAAGTATAAAATACTTATACAATTTCTAGGACTTAATTAGATGCAATTTTAATCACATTGAAAAAAATAAAGTATCAACTGAAATTCATTAAATATTTTGGATGTTTTGTTCTACATTTTCAGTAAATTGTAATCTGTGTTGTACTTGAAATCAAAGTGTACAGTGCTCACTTTATTTTATTACAAATATTTACACTGTAAAAGTGATACATGACAGAAATCATATTCTTTAGTTCCTCAAACAACTACTATAGTGGAATAGGATTATCATAAAGAGCAACTTACAAATGTAGATTTATTTTTTACATTTACTGCACTCAAAAACAAAACAATGTAAAAATTTAGAACCTATAAGTCCACATAGTCCTAACTTCTTCTTCAGCCAATTGCTAAGACAAGAATATTTGTTTATATTTATGGGAGATGATCCAGGTTCTTATTTTCAATTTCAACTGAAGGTGAAAACAGGTGTTCGCATGGCATTAAAATGTGCCTAAACATTCATATGCCCTTTTATGCTTCGGCCACTATTCCAGAGGACATACTTCAATACTGAGGACACTCAAACCAATGTGTTAACTAAATTTGTGACTGAACTCTTTGGAGGAAAATTGTATGTCTCCTGCAGTTTTACTTGCATTTTGCCACATATTTCATGTTATAGTAGTCTTAGACAATGATTAAGCACATGTTCATTTTCAGAACACTTGCACTTCAGATTTAGCAAAATATAAATAAGGTACCCATGTGAGATTTCTAAAAATTGCTATATCACTTTACTCAAGGATTATGGCTATAACATGCTTTCCAAAAATTAGAGGGATGTGAGGCATGCTTTCAAAAGTTTTTAAAAAGCAACGCTCTGATGCAGAAACCAAAGTATCGAAGGCACCAGAAATTCAATCTTCTGCTGGTAGCATCTGACTCAGATGACAAAAATGAATATGCATTGGACACTGATTTGAATTGTTATTGAGTAGAACCCATCATCAGCATGGATGCATGTTCTCTAGAACAGTGGTTGAAGCATGAAGAGACATATGAATCCTTAGTGCATCTGGTATGTAAATATTTTGCAACACTCATGACAAAAGTACCATGTGAACACCTTTTCTCACTTTCAGGCAGCATTGTAAATAAGAAGAAGGCAACATAATCTCCTAAACAAACATATTTCTTTGAGTGCTTGTCTGAACATGTAGCAGCACTGAGTGGACTTGTAGATTCTAAGGTTTTATATTGTTTTACCTTGAAATGACTTTTTTGTACAAAATTCTACATTTGAATGTCCATGATAAAGAGATTACGCTACAGTACTTGTGAAGGGGGACTTGAAAAATTCCATTTGTTTTAGTTTTTAAAGTGCAAATATTTGTAATCAAAATAAATATTAAGTGAGCAATGTACACTTCGTATTCTGTGTTTTAATTAAACCAATATCTTTAAAAATGAAGAAAACAACCAAACATATTTAAATAAATGGTATATTAACAGTGTGATTTATTATGTGATTGTTTTAACTGCATGACAGCCCTAAATATTTCTAATCAATTTGCCAGAACATTTAACTAATCTAGGGTAAGATAAAGCTAGAGTCCATCTATTGTTTATTTCATTATAATATTTCAAAGAGAACAATCAAATTTTCAAAGAACTGCGGAACTGAATAACAAAACCCAATCAATTTACACTACAAATGAAGACGTTTAGAAAAATCTAACGCAACATATATTTATATCTACTAGGTAGTTTTTAATCCAGACAGCAAACCAGTCCTACTCGGTACCTTTACAACCCTCTCCAGAAGGAGGAAGTTGTTGAGAATTTAACAAGTGTAAATATTTTAATCAATTAAATTACATAGATTTTTTTTTTTGTTTAGGGCTACCATCCTCTTTGTTAGAGCTTCATCTAGACGACAACAAAATTACAGCAATTGAACTTGAGGATTTTATTCGGTACAAAGATCTTCAAAGGTAAAACATAACATCAACATTTCCAGGATTTTCTCAATCACTTTAGGTAACTCATTTTGGGAATAAGTTATGGTGCGGTGAATTGTCTGACTATGCCAAAAGAAGGACAAGAGAAATTTGATATAGGTTTAATTAGGTAGCAATTTTATTATGGATCTCAAAATTTCAATATTATTTCAAGGCAATTTAAAAAAAAACAGATTGAAAGGGAAGCTGCAGAGCTTAACTTCATTTACAAGTTTGGTACCTACAATAGAGGTTTAAACAAAGACCTTAACTGGATTACCTGCTACATTCCACATCCTAATGACATACAAAAGCAAACACCAGTTATTTAAAAGCACTTAGTACCCACTCCATCAGCTTCATTTAGCATGGACACCCTAACTGACAGTATTATCCCCATTTTTTCCTTCTTTTTCCTTCCCCGCCCATCTCCTCTCTTTCTCTGCTATTTGGAAACCGGCTCCTTTAACTTCATTCATCTGAAGAAGAGGGTTGTGCCCTGAAAGCTAATGATACCAGTTACATTTATTGTTAGTCTCTAAGGTGCTGAAGGACTATTAGTTAAACATTTTTTTACGTTTTTTCAATTACAGACTAATATGGCTACCCCTCTGAAACTTTATTATTAGATGTCTGGGACTACCCAGTAGATAAAACGTACAGTACAGGTAACCCACCCTCATTTCCCTGCATAATTAACTGGGGAGGGAAGTGCCCATACTAGCTCCCTCACACGCACTTTTCCACCTATGTCTCTCAATGGATCCACTATCGGGACCTTACAATACCCAGGTCCCCCATCGTTTCATTCTAGGTCCCTCCAGTAAAACCATTGCTGAGAACCCCCCCTCACAGGAGCTATAAGACAGACTACAACGATGAGGGGTTTGGTGCTCTAATGTACCAATCATAGAAGTGCCCACTCAATTACCAAGCACGTCTCCTCAAATCCGTTCCCCGAGCCATTTATCCATTACAGTACTGTATGCTTCTTTTATGGATTAGCAGCAATGAACATCTGCTATACTCTTAAATAATGAGTAGCGTTATATGCCTTACTGCCTGAAATGTTATGCATTAACAGAGACTACCTGAACCTGCTCTGAGGAAGGTAAAACAATGCCAACTGCACCTGGCCAATGTGGTGGAAAGGGAAAAATTCCTTGCCAGCACACATAATGCCTACAGTAGATACAGTCATTAACCTGGTATATTTATCACTTGAATAGAGAAGGAGAATGAGTGCTGTTTAGCCTGCTCCATATGAAGGGGAGGGTCCTGGCACAGCCTGATCCTTTTAAGCCCCTCATTTCTGGGTGGTGGGTTAGTCACCATGCTGATCCCTTTTTCAGCATTTTTTAAGCTTCCCATCCTTCCCCCATCCCCCAAGCCATCAAGAATCATTCTCCTCTCAACCAGCCAGCCAAATATCCCCCAGATCAGGATGCAGGGTGGGGAACAGCTTAAAACATTATTTTTGTATTACATTAGAACAATGATGACCAAGCGATGATCCTGAGGGCACATCAACATGACTATTGAGGAAAAATATAGAAGAAAATTTGCATTTTCCAAATTGCACTTATAGGCTATGTCTAGACTACATGCCTCTGTTGGCAGAGGCATGTAAAATAGGATACCTGACACAGTCAATGAAGCGGGGATTTAAATATCCCCGGCTTCATTAATAAAAATGGCCGCCGCGCTGTGTCGGCTCAGCTGATTGTCGGCATCGCGCGGCAGTCAAGATGCGGATCGGTCGATAGGGGAAGCCTTTGTTGACCGCTCCCTTATGCCTCGTGAAACGAGGTATACAGGAGCAGTCGACAAAGGCTTCCCCTATCAACCAATCCACGTCTTGACTGCCACGCTGTGCTGACAATCAGCTGAGCTGGCACAGCGTGGCAGCCATTTTTATTTTAATGAAGCCGGGGATATTTAAATCACCGCTTCATTGACTATGTCGGGTAGCCTATTTTACATGCCTCTGTCAGCAGCTGCATGTAGTCTAGACATACCCATAGATTACACCTATCTTTGACATAGTCCTTAGGAGCATGCCAGGAGATACCACTTCTTCAGGCATGTAGTTTACATGCGTCAGTCGCTCAACTATAAACACTTCATTGATTCAATCTATTCACAAACTACCTTCAAACCCCCTCCTTCCCAGACCTCACATGCCCTGCTTAAATTATCACTCCTCCCAACTGTCTCTCCCTGACACAGTTATCTTCCTCTGCGGGAGGTACTGCCAACCGAAGCATGTGAGGAAAAAATTAGCACACTCACCATATTGATTGTTACTGACACATTTCTGCTCAGCAGATTCATCATAATATATTTCCTGGTATTCTCCTCATCCCCCTTCCCAGAGCTTCTGTTCCTTTCACAGGTGGGGGAGGGAAGGAATGTACGGAGAAAGTGCAGGATTTCCCAGAATCATGTAGCTTTTCACTAAGCAAAAAACAATAACTGGGGCAGAAGAAACTAAGGCACAAAGCAGAGAGTGCATGAGAAAAGAGCAGGAGTGGTCACAAAAAAAGAAATAGGGGGAAGTATTGATTGATTCATGGTGACAGGGGGAGGTCCCAGATGATTGGAAACAGGCAAATGTAGTTCCCATCTTTAAAAAAGGGAAGGAGAATCAGGGAACCACAGAGGTCAGCCTCACTTCAGTCCCTGGAAAAATAGTGGAGGGGATCCCCAAAGAATCCATTTTGAAGCCTTTGGAAGAGAGGAAAGTGATCAGGAATAGTCAACGTGGATTCACCAAGGGCATGTCATGCCTGACCAATCTGATTGCTTTCTATCACAAGGTAACTGGCTCTGTGAATATAAGAAAGGTGGTGGATGTGATATACCTTGACTTTAGCGAAGCTTTTGATACAGTCTCCCACAGTATTCTTGCCAGCAAGTTTGCAGATGACACTAAGTTAGGGGGAGAGGTAGATATGCTTGAGAGTAGAGATAGGGTCCACAGTGTCCTGGACAAATTGGTGAATTGGGAAAAAAGAGATCTGATGAGGTTCAACAGGGACAAGTGAAGAGTTCTGCACATGGGATAGAAGACTCCCAAGCACTGTTACAGGCAGGGAATTAACTGGCTAAGCAGCAGTTTGGCAGAAAAAGACCTGGGGGTTACAGTGGATGAGAAGCTGGATATAAGTCAACAGTGCATCCTTGTAGCCAAGAAGGCTAACAGCAGATTGAGGTGCATTAGTAGGAGGACTGCCAGCAGATCTAGGGAAGTGATTATTTCCCTTTAATTCATACTGGTGAGCCCACATCTGGAATACTGCATCCACTTCTGGGCCCCCTATTACAGAAAGAATGTGGACGCGCTGGAGGAAGTCCAGCGGAGGGTCTCAAAAATAATTAGAATTATAATTAGAATGATAGTATTTTATGAATTATAGAATACTAGAACTGGAAGGGACCTTGAGAGGTCATCAAGTCCAGTCCCCTGCCCTCACAGCAAGACCAAGGGGAGCTGGAGCACATGACTTCTGAGGAATTTGAGCTTATTTGGTCTACAGAAGAGTGAGGGTGGATTTGATAGCAGCCTTCAACACCTGAAGGGGAGTTCCAAAGAAGATGGAGAAAGGGCTTTCTCAATGGCAATAGATGACAGAATGAGGTACAATAGTCTAGGAAAAACTATTTCATTAGGGTGGTGAAGCACTGGAATAAGTTACCTAGGGAGCTTTTGGAATCTCCATCCTTAGAGGTTATTAAGTCCCACGTTGACAAAGCCCCAGATGGGATGATTTAGTTAGGACTGGTCCTGCTTTTAGCAGGGGATTGGCCTTGATGATCTACTGAGGTATCTTCCAACCCTATGATGCCATGACTTTAGAAATATAATGCCTACAATTAAATTACATTTTCAAGTCTTGTGTGGTTTCAGTAAACACTTGATTTCAAAGAAGGGAGAATTATGTTAAGGAAGGAATAAAGCAGAAGGCAGGTCTTTTGGTAAAGGTGTATTTCTGAAGAGCATAGGAAGAAGGAAGGAAAGCTACAAAGATCAAGGACCCAGGAGATGGGTAGAAGAGATGGACTAAGTTTCCAGGGCCTGGTTGGACAGAAGTTAGTTGGTTCCTGGGAAAGGAAATATATTTCCTTCAGAGACTGGGGACAACAACGGTGGTTTCACAAAGGAGAAGGCTAAGGAAGAAAGAAAAAATGGGTTTGTTTTTGAGAGATGGAGGCTCTAAAATCCCTCTTCAAGGCCCACCTAGTACTTTGAAAACCTGGCTGAGGAACTTTGAACCTAGAATTTGTTATTAGAAACCTAAGCTGGTAGCTGCTTGTAGGCTTTGAAGTCAATGTAAGAAACTAGAATAGAGAGTAGTGAAGATAAAAAATGGAACCTTTACATTGTTCTTTTCTCTCAATTTTGGCACCTTAATATTTTGAAATAATATTTTTAGCTCTAGTAGCACCTGAAAGACTAACAAAATATGTAGATGTTCTCATGAGCTTTCGTGGGCACACCCACTTCTTCAGATGACTGGAGTACACTCATATTTTATTAGTCTTTAAGGTGCTACTAGACTATTCATTGCTTTTTAAATTCTTCCTTCCTGTTACAGACTAACTCGGCTACCCCCCTGAAGATTTTTAGCTCTGACACTAGTCACTGCCTTAGACTAAGTTAAAGTGTGAGTGACAAATTTATGTTAAGAGGAAATCTGAAAGTAGAAAATAAAAGGTACAAAACTATTCATAACTTTGGGGAAAGGAAAAGTTACATTAAAGTGCAGATGATAATTAGTTCTATATAATTTTTCATTTTTCCTCCTACTGTGTCTATAACCAGGGCTCAACAAATTATAGAAAACCCTACTCATCACACAAAAAAGGGACTCGCCACCCCCACTGCGTGACCCCCACCATGCAGGTGTGCGCCACCCAGAGAACAGGACGACCAGGATGACATGTTTGCTTCAGTGATGGGGCGGGGACGTTCTGCAACGGCGAGGACGACCCGCCCAGCACTTCAACAGCACGGCGTTCTGACAGCTGTCTGTGCTGCTTGCGCCCGTGTGGCCGCCCAGCTGAGCGGTGTGCAGGGGGACTGAGTCCTGGGACAGGAGCTGAAAGCGGGAGCGGGGCCGCATGCGGGCTTAGGGCGGGGACAGAGTGTGTGTGCGCGTCTTTGACATCAAGGGGAGAGGCACCGGCACAAGAGAGCGTCACATTCAAAAGGGGAGCAGAGGAGAGGAGGGAGGAGATGGAGGAGAGTAAAGGAGGGAGGGGGAGAACAAAGGAGTGAGCTAGAAGATGGCGGTGGGTGGAGGAGTGAAGGGTGAAAGCAGAGGAGAACGGAGGGGGATGCGAGTCAGAGGAGGTCAGAGAAGGCAGGGGACAAGGAGTGGAGCTAAGAGCAGAGAGTGGGGGCAGAGGACGTGAAAAGAGAAGCAGAGAAAGGAAGCAGCCCAGAGCGGAGACACTAAGGAGCCCCATCCTGGGCTGCTTCCTACCTCCGTTTCTCCTTTCACGTCCTCTGCTCCCACGCTCTGCTCTCTGCTCCACTCCCCGTCTCCCTCCTGCCTTCTCTGACCTCCTCTGACTCCCGTCCCCCTCCGCTCTCACCCTTCACTCCGTCCACCACCATCTTCTAACTCACTCCTTTTAAAAGAGAAGAAGAGATAGGAAGCAGCCCAGAGCGGAGACACTAAGGAGCCCCATCCTGGGCTGCTTCCTACCTCCGCTTCTCCTTTCACGTCCTCTGCTCCCACGCTCTGCTCCATTCCCCGTCTCCCTCCTGCCTTCTCTGACCTCCTCCGACTCCCGTCCCTCTCCTCTCTGACCCTTCACTCCTCCGCCCACCGCCGTTTTCTAGCTCACTCCTCTGTTCTCCCCCTCCCTCTATTACTCTCCTCTCTCTCCTTTCCCCTCTGCCTTCCTCCATTGCTCTCCTTTTGAATGCGGAGCTCTCTTGCGCTGGCACCTCTCCCCTGACATCAGGGACGCACGCACACTCTGGCCCCACCCTACGCCTATGTGCGGCCCTGCCCCCGCTTCCAGCTCCCGTCCCAGGACTCGGCCCCCCTGCATGCCGCTCAGCTGGGCGGCCACACGGAAACAAGCAGCGCAGACCACTGTCAGAACGCCGCACTGCCTGCGCAGCACGGGGGTTGGTGCCGTTGAAGTGCGGGGCGGGTCGCCCTCGCCACCGCGAGGCGCCTCTTCCCCGTCACAGCTCCCCAGCTGCCAAAATCTACTCGCCACGGGCGAGTGGGCGAGCAGATTTATCGAGCTCTGTCTGTAACAAATAAAATACAGTTTCCCATTGTACACAGGACAACAAATTTAAGAGTATAGTTTATTTATACAAATGCTGCTTATTTTTTTGTTTTAATATTTGCTTCTGATAGAATAACTATTACATACTCACTAACTCATGTTGTTTTATGGAGCACAATTGGATCTTCTCTCAGCTTTCATTTTGTTAGGCTAAACAAGCCACACTAAGTTTTGCCTCCTAAGATAGGTTCTCCATTCCCTGATCGTCTAAATAACCCTTCTCTGAATTGGTTCCAGTTTGAATTTATCTATCTTGAATGTGGACAACTAGAATAGTACATGTGGTTAGATGTTGATAGATGTTTGGCTGCATGCGTATGTTCCTTCTGTATGCCATTCCAGCTCTGTGCAGACAGCTGTCATGGCAGACCTTGAGCAAACTATCCAGGATCTGTTAAGGGAAAAATGTTCAGAAATGTGGTTAAAAATCCCAATGAATCAGTAGTCACACTTTGTTTTATTTCTAGGCTGGGACTGGGAAACAATAAAATCAAAGATGTAGAAAATGGAAGTTTTTCCAGTATACCAAAGGTACGAGAAATACATCTAGAGAACAACAAACTGAAAAAGGTTCCTCCTGGACTATCTGATCTGAAATATCTGCAGGTAATATATTACTCTTGGCAGATGAGTTTGTTATACTGCTTAGGAAATAATTTGCCACATAATTACTGTATCAATTGTGCATCTTGGCTACACTTCTTACAACAGAAAAATGGGAAATAATATATTTGTTTGAAGGGATAATCAAGTGCAAGTAACAGGATCACTCAAAGAAAAAACAGCTCACAAGGTATTTTGTGTGGTAAAGTAATATCTTACATCTACACTGCAACACCATTTCAAAATAACGAGTGCTATTCCAAAATAACTTAGTCTGTGTCTACACAGCAGGCAGTTGTTCCAAAATAGTGTCAAAATACTGTCAAGCTGGAGGACTTCTTACTCTGAGTCCTGTAACCCTCATTGTACAAGGAATAAGGCAAGTCGGAGGAAGAGTACTCTATTTTGAAATAAGCTGTTTCGAAATAAGATACACAATTGATGTAGCTCAATTTGCATAGCTTATTTTGAGTTAAACCCTGGAGTGTAGATGCACCCTATGAAACCAACTGAGCACTGCCCCATTGAAACAGGAAAAATAGGGAATAAATAAATGTGTAATAGAGGCTCGTGCATAGTCCATTAAGAGAAGCTGCACAGCTTCACTATATATTAATCATTTTGTCAATCTATAAATGCTCACATCCAAGCAGGGGCAGCCCGTCCGTATAGGCAAACTAGGCAGTCGCTTAGGGCGCCAAGTTAAATGGGGCACCAAATGGTGGCGCAATATCACTGAGGGGTTTGAAGGGGTTTTGAAAGTTCATTTATATTAAGGTACGTTGTGAATTTAAAGTGGAATAGCTATTCCTGATTAATTCCCTGTGTGGATGTTCTTATCCTGAAAGAGAGTTTCCTATTTGGAATTAGTTTAATCTGAATTAAGCACTTTTATTCAGGAATAACAGGATCCACAAAATAAATCCTCATATAGACACCAGTACAGACCTGTGCAAATAATTTTTTCAGTTTGCTGGCATTTCGGAAAAGCCAAGGAAAATAGTTTCAAGTTGAAACAAAACCAAAATTTTTTGTAATTTCTGATAATCTGAACATTGAAAAGATAATTTAGGGTCAAACAAAACTTTCATGTTGACATTTTCAGCATGAAATATTTTAATTCTGAACATTTTATTTTTTATTAAAAAGAGAATTTTGAAACAAAAAGGTGTTTCCAAATGAAAAAAAAAATATTTTGTTTCAGAAATGTCAAAACAAAATGCTCTCACATCCATGAATATGGTGTTTCCCAATGCAAGTACAATTTCCAGAGTACTTCTGCTCCCTAGCAGGTTTAGTCAGCAGCACATGTGTGTAAACTACTCATCTTATGTACATGTTGACACAGAGCTCAGAGCTTAGGAAGATGTGTTTAGGAAATATGAGGGCCATAGAATTGACTGAAGGGCCTTTGAGTTCAAGTAATGTGTTTTAAATAATTTCACTCTTGTACCAAAGTCTGAGAGGGCAAGGCCACCTTCAATTTACTACTCCTGTGAAGTGCTTTAGGACCAGGCTAGATACTCAGACTGACAGAAAGGATTTAGTATAGACTAGAACCTATGGCAGCGATGGTGTGTTTTGTGATATTACTATGCTGGCAAAAGCCCAGGTGCAGATCCAGTTAAGACAGCACAGAAGCAATTTTACTGGAATTACTTGTTTCATTTGCTGAACTGGCATAAGCTATTTCCTCGAAACCACTTTTTTTTGCCATTATAAGTTGTGTTACTACTAGGAGGGTTTGCTGAAATAGCTATACTATTCCCAGAGTAGATATAGCCTAAGTTTATGCTGTTTAAAGTTAACACAATACATATTTGTGAACACACATGTTAAAGGAAAAGGTATAGAAGCATCTTAAGAATACAGCCAAAGCTCTATGATAATAGAATAATAAATTTAATCAAACAACATTTTGCAAAATTAAGGAAAATCCCCTTTCTAGTGACTTTCAAATCCCGATACTATGGGGGATTATAGACAACTGCTCTACAGATAATTATATATAATTTGTATAATTAATTAAATCATAATATAATTAATTAAATATAACTTGTCAATGACTCCATCAGCATGTTTTTCCCTACTTTACCTACTAGATGTTATCACATATTTTTCTTTTTCTTATTGTACAGATTGTCTTCCTTCACTCTAATAATATCGCAAAAGTGGGAGTAAATGATTTCTGTCCAACTGGAGGAAGCACGAAGAAGACGTTATACAGTGGCATTAGTTTATTCAACAACCCTGTGAAATACTGGGAAGTTCAGCCTGCTACATTTCGTTGTATTTTAGGCAGAAATAGTGTGCAGCTTGGGAATTTCTGAAGTGATTCAGAAGTTTGCATATTCCAAAACTATCTTTACATACCTATGTTGTGTTGCTGATTTTATAATACTTGAAATCTATTGTAAAAGGGCAATTGTACACCCTTTAACCAGTTTACAAAATACCAACACTAATTTAGTGATTGAATAATAGAAACAGACTATACCATAGCAGTCCTTTGTTTTATTAGATAAAATTTAACTTACGTTTTTGATTAAATTACATTCAAACCTTGATTTTCAAGGAGAGGAGGACTCTTGAAAACTATTAGAAACTGTATTTTGATGTTTCCTGTTACATATTTTCAATTATTTACTGCAAACTACTTTGTTTTTTTCCAAAACTGAAGCAATGAAAAGCATTAAATAATTTTTTCTGGAATGATTTTTTCATTACTGAAATTATTTTATTTTTAAAGATGTATATAGAATGCATAAAAATGTACAAACAAAATACATATCTCAAGGATAAAATAAGTGTGTCAGATTTATCACTGGTAAAAAAAATTGACTAAGAACAATTTAAAAGGTATGGTATTTCGGATTTGATGTTGGTCTAGTTTTAATAATGTCACTATGTTGGAATATATTTACAGTTTTTTTAGTTAAAGGAAATTGGGCTTGATACCTTAGAGTTGAAATCCTAAAAACTCTTGATATTTTAGTATTTATTCTTGTAACTTTTTACCATAAAATGTCCATCAGTGTTTTGCTGCAAATATAATGGTGTGTTCTCTGAATACTAAAAGGCAGCATTCAAAATTTACCATATACTACAAGCTTAATAGGAGCTCTTATTAAAACCTCTTTAGGCTGGCCTGCCCACGTGCGAACGCACGCACGCACGTACACAGACACAGTAAACGTGTTCTTTATTTTAAATAAGTTTCTTTTACATTTTTGACATTACATAAACCACATTCATAGTAACTCATAATCTGAAAATACTCCGACATTGCTGAAAATAAGCAGTTTATAATGTAAATGTAATTGACAAAACTGCTTATGGTGGATAATATGTAAAATAAGCAATACCAACAGTACTGTATAAAATGGATATTTTATGTGTCTATTTAGTGTATATTTGTTACTCGTATTCATCATAAATTAAATGAACTTAAAGAATACCATGAAACTTAAGTCTTCTAATAAAAATGTTGAATTGAAGCCAAATTATATTGTCATGCTTTGGTGTATCCTTTAGTCTTAGTGGAATATTGATAGTATATACAACATCACCACTCAGATTATTATTTTCTTAAGTATTATTTTTGAAACAAACATACTCCCAGTACACAATTATAAATTGTGGCAAGGCTCTTCCTGCCCTTCCTGGTGGATTTTTGGTACTTCTCAGAGGTTCGTGGTGAACCTTTCACTGCCTCTTGCTTCTCTCAGAGGTTCCCTGATTACTGAGCCTTTTTCATCAGGGGCAAGTCACTAGTTTGAAGGGGAAAACCCTTCCATGGTCCACAAGTCCCCTTTTCCCCAGTGGCAGCCCACCAGGCATAGAGAGGGTTGACGGAAACCCGGTTCCAGCCACTTACTCCAGGTTCTGAGCCAGGGCCCTAGGTAGTGGCCATTAGTGGGGTTCCTGCCATTATCCCCACAGAAATTAGTCCTTCCCTGGGCCACTTCCCCAACCTCTCTCACAGTTCCTTCTCCCAGTACACTAGATGATGACTTCTCTCGATTGTAGCCTTCAGTTCTCTTCCACCTTGTACTTCCTCCTCTCCCATCTGTCACTCCTCTCCTTTCCCTCTCTTTTCCTGAGGGGAACCTTTTGTAGTGGACAAACAGGCCCTAACTGGCTGCAGGTGTCTCATTAGCCTGCTCCTCAGAGTCCCAGGTGCCTGCTGGTCATAATTGCTGGGCAGCAGTCTCTACCAGCCTTGGTAGGGAACAGGAACCTATCTACCCACCCACCCGCCATCAAACTACTGCAGCCTGTTGCCTTGGTCTGCCACAAAATATTGCTATGTATAATCTGTGAAGGTATGTCAAAGTACGTACTCAGTACTTTTTCAGCTTTCTTTGTATTATGTTTTCTTTTACTATATCACCAAGAGTGAGAAACCAGTTAAGTGCTACAACAAGCAGCCAACTCATCACCTTTAAGAGATGCTTTGAAGAAGCCAGTGTTTGCAGGAATAAGGGCAGGAGTAAGGAACTGGAGCAGGGCACAGTGCCAGAAACAGAAGGAGAAAGCAAGCCTTCTCCTTCCTTCCCCTTAGATCTCTCCTATAAGGGGCCAACAGAGTTTTAGTGATTTCATTAATTCTTCCCAGCAGAACTGACAGCCATGTTGGGCTGTGGGGTGGGACTTGAGGGAGCCATGGCTCCACACAGCCCAGGAGAGGCAGGGCGGAGGGCAATCAGCCTTAGTGCCGCCAGACTGTGCCTCCCTGCAACCTAGCCCTCGGAGCCATGCAGAACAGTGCTCCCAAAGGCAATTCAAACGGGCTGTATCCCAGAGCTCTGGGCCCCTTTGAATCTCCAGGCCCTGAGACAATTCTCCTCTTTGGCGGACCTGACCCTTCCTACATGGACACAACTGAGGCTACTTCATATAAAGGACTTACAGTACAGGAATGATGACTTTAAAATACAAGTGTGAAAGATAATGTGTAGGTAGGTGGAATAGTTCTCTTATGTATAATATTCTCTTTCCAATAACCGCAAAGTGGCTGTGCTTAAGAAGTTTGCTGCTGTCAAATGTAACTAAATGCGGCATCATTTAAGGCATTTAAATACCACTACACATTATAAAAATGCTAAAACAGATTAAATAAAGTAGATAGAAAATCCATTTAAAACAGTTACTTATTGAAAAACTGTTCAAAATAGAATCAATCACAAAAACACAAGTGAGTTAATTTAATAGATTTTAAAACTATACAGGGCCATTGTGGTTAATCTAGTCTGACCTTGCCGTTCCTGACTTTGAAAGCTTGACTTGGCAGCTTTAATACTTGTCTTTTAACATAGCTTTTGTATTCAGATTTCTAGGTTGTTAAAAAAGCAAACTGAAAAAAAGAAATTCCATCATGTGGCATCATATTGACACCAACATTGTTCATCCTCATGAACTTCTGCCACTTGAGCTTGCCAAGTAACTGATAGCAGCATGTTGTCATCTTTTATTTGGTTCAGGCCTACAGTGGGATGAGGCATTTTCCTGTGCGCTGCACAGATAATTTTTTGAAGCAGAGGTATGTGAGACTCAGGAATCTTGGGTTCATACTAGGTTATGAAGAAAGGGTATGACTGATAAGCACAGTCTCTCTTCTGCATAATTCCACACACCACGCTTGATCTTGTCTGACCAATGCCTTTCCAACCTGCCTCTGTCAGAGTTCTCTCTCTTCCCTCCCCCCAGTCTCTTTGCCCAGAAAATCCCATTTCTAACCTTCACTCTAGTTTTTCATCAGATCTGTCTTTGCTCCCCACCCTCCAAACTTTCCATTCCTCTTTGCACCACCGGCTCCCAGGTGTGTCACTTTTCTGGGGCAGCCCCCACTTCCATCTATCCTCAATCTCCCTGCACCCCCAGCTCCCTCATTATTATCATTATAACCAATATTATATTTTATGCTATAGTAACTACTTGGATTAGAAGGAGACAGATTATCCCATATCTATTTTATGCAAGTTTATCTGCAACTTTTTCTTAAGTACCTAACAATGGCACTGTCAGAGACAGTATACATAACTAGATGGAATATGGATGTGAATCAACTAGTATCAGAATTTCCTACTACGTATGTAAAAGTATAACTGTTTAAAGTGTTAACCAATAATCCTGGTCTTTTTGATTACCATTAATGGTTACATGCAGGCTCCCAGCTTGCTTCTGGGGAGCTGGCTGCTGCCCTGCGCTGCTACCACTATATCAGAGGCAGCAGCATGGCGGTGGCAGCCAGCTCTCTGGGAGCAAGGCTGAATGAGGGAGCCAGTATGCAGTATGAGGGAGTAGTCTTAAAAGCCGGCATGTACCGGTTCCCAGAGAGCTGGGTTGAAGGCAGGAGCCGGAGTGCACTGAGAGTAGGCTATATCAAAGGCAATAAAATGGGGCAACAGCCAGCTTCCCGGGAGCAAGGTGGTAGGTAGGAGCTGATACACACTGGGAGCCAGTTTAAAAGCCAGCTTCCAGCACACACCGTCTCTCAGAAAGCCAGCTGCCGCCCCACATTGCGGTGTGTGTGACTATGTATCTGCTGAGATTTTTTTTTAGTAGAAAGCTCATATCAAACAAGGCTCAACAATGAACCAATTAAATCAGCAGTTCCTAATCAATTATATAGCAAGTGGCTATTGCTGCTAATAATTAACTATATTCCAGGCAAGCCTTGATTATTAAAATCTACTTAAATGTACTAGAAGAATGTGAATTACCCACAAACAAAGCTATTCTTTGCAAAGGAAAAAAATCCTGCTGCAAAGGAAAAAAATCCAGCCTGTCTTAGTCCCCTCTGAACAGTCATTAGTTTGTTGTATGTGAGACTCAGTGGTGGGTCTATTGACATCTAAAAATCAATTGGGTCTAAGCTGAATTTAGTCAGTGTCCCTAGACACAAATAATTCACTAAGGCACAGTCGCAGCCCAAGCACCAACTTCTTGTCTAAACTCTACCTTCAGATACAGGTCTCCACACTCCCATTGTGAACTCCTCAGCCCCTTAGCTCGGTTAATTTCTGAGTATTTCTGAGTTAATGTAACTCGGTTACGAAACCCATTGTTTGTGATTAGGCACAAGTCTCTTTAAGGTAAAGCCTATTGAAGAACATGAAGTCTTACTCCTTATTGTTACTGTTCTAATAAATTACTGCTATAAAATATTCAATCACTCAATTGACCAATTGTTTTTGGATAGGTCAAATACCCAACTTTACTTGAAATACATGTCAAAGCCCTTTCCTGGGCATGGTATCTGCTTGAAATACACTGTAATAACCAAGTTTAGACAAATGTTCAGCAAATGATACCAAATGAAGATCACAATACACCATAAAGGTTACAATACAAAAATGTAGTTAACAATTATACCTAGATTATCCCGCTCTGTTATTGCAAAGGAAAAAAATCCTGCTGCAAAGGAAAAAAATCCAGCCTGTCTTAGTCCCCTCTGAACAGTCATTAGTTTGTTGTATGTGAGACTCAGTGGTGGGTCTATTGACCTCTAAAAATCAATTGGGTCTAAGCTGAATTTAGTCAGTGTCCCTAGACACAAATAATTCACTAAGGCACAGTCGCAGCCCAAGCACCAACTTCTTGTCTAAACTCTACCTTCAGATACAGGTCTCCACACTCCCATTGTCCTAAATCCCTGGAACCAGTGCTTTTGAA